GCCTTTGGTATCACAGTCGCAAAGTGAATGCTAACTGGTGTTAGTTTTTGAACATTTCAGCGGGCTCCTAAAAGTATACTTACTATAGTAGATGTGGTGTATGAAACATACAATATTATATGCATTTTATGACCGTAGATAAGCGTTTTGGTGGCGCTAGTCAAAAACCCCAATATGGTTTCATTCTTAAAAGTTGACTGCCATCTGTGGACTACTTTTCGGTAAGAAATTAAATTAATAGCAAACCTAAGTGCGCTGCTCTTCATCGCAGAACTTCAAAGTATTTCTACAGTGTTTTTTAAGCTTTAAAAACAGAAGTTTTTTCAAGCGATTTCCAGAAAATTTTCGAATATATTTTGAACACAACGAATCTTTTAGCGAAAGTCAAACACAAAAAAGTTTCATTTTAAGTAAAAAAAAGAAAAAAAAAAGTATTTCAAATAAAGAGCAAAAAGGTAGTTGAATAAACAAATGATAATAATGGAGTTCAACTTTGTATAGTTAATGTAAGCAAATAATAATAATTATATACATGATTTTGTATTTATAAAAGTAATACCAAATGTCTTAAACGGAAAAATCTTTTATTTTTCAGCGAGAAATACAAAATCTCAAAACAAGAAATATTATTTTAACAAATTTCACAATTTCGGAAGGAAAATTTACAACTGAATTAACCCACTAGAAACGTTGAACCAGTGTAAGATACTAAACTGTAAAATAAAAACTCTAAACGGAGTTGCCACAAAATAAAAAAAAATTAAAAATAAAAAATCTAAATTCAATATATGCCGAAAAGTATGCAATATAATTTCGTAATATATCAAAATTGCTAAAGTGCTTTTGTTTTTCAAAAACTAGAAAAAGTTGAACATGATTTTTGCTGTTATAACTAAATTTATATGCTATATACAACCCACATAGGGTTTTTTTAGCGCAAAATTTTTAGAAATTCTAGAACGCAAACTTTTGGAAGAAGTGGGCGTTTAACTGTGAACCTTCTCGGTGGTTTTAGGTGGCTTTAGGAGAACAAACTTTCTATTCGATTTTCAGGCATATTTTTGAAAGCTTGGCTTTTTTGAAATGATTAGAGCAACTTTTAAAAACAAAAAAAATAATAATAATAAAAATTGTGCAATAATAAAAATTTTGAAAACCAATTTAAAATTCTGCGAAACATATGGCAACCACTGAATCAAAATCAAATCAAAACAAAGAAAATTAAAGAAGCATATACAAATAAACATTGTAAATAAATATAAAATCAATATCAAATATATAGATATATATAAAGACTAGAAATGTTGTTGCAAGGTGTTGGCATTTAAAAGAATTCTTGAACTTGTTTTTATTTTAAGTAAGAAATGTTAAAGCATATATTGTACCAGATATTCTGTTTACCTGAAATATTTTTGTATGCAAATCATAAATAAAGCCCTACCTTACACGGTTATTCAAAGCAAATAAAAAAATAATTTTGTTTTTTCATAAAAAAAAATTTTATTTAAAAGACTCGTAAAAAAATTAACAAAAAATGTAAATTTATTTTTATATTTCCGTCCGTTGTTACTCATTTGCTCTTACACACACTCTCATACATAAAACAAAAAAAAAGAAAATGTGAGAAAAATGGCAAAAGCGGAAACTGAAGCAAAAGCTGCCAACTGAACTCAACAAATACAATCAAATTAATTTATTAATGGTGAAAATAATTACTGTTAAAGCTACTAACATTTTTTACGCATAACTCACAACTAACGGAAGTACATACTATAAACAATAGCAAAGTACTAATCGCTAAACAAAATACTAACCGAAATATGCACAGTTGGGCGTATGTATGTAAGTACTTATATAACATATAACATTATATTTAACGGCATTTGGTATTGAATGTAGCATTTTATGCCTCTCATAAAATTGTGTTCATTTTAAGCATAACCAATATTACTAACAACAACAACAAAGCGCATAATGTAAATGGAAATTATTACTAACGAAATTATGAAAATATTTAACAAAAAAGCGATAAAAACTTAACTCAATTTGTACATATGTAACATGCGAAAAATACTACAAAATTAGTTATATAATTCATTGTTTAATTAACAATTAACAATTAACAAACCACAACCGAAGACTTATAATATTTAGTGAACTTGAAAAGTTGTTTAGCATTTAATTAAAAAATAAAACTAAACAGATTGCAACTAAAAGTTTAGGAAACCGAAATTCAACGAAATAAAAATAAGTGGCAATGTAACTTTGCGAGTGGGTGTGTTATTAGCGTAATGGCTTTAATTAGTAAATACTAACAAACGAGGGGTAAATGCGTAAGGCCTAACCAAAAGCGGCGTTGTAGCACTACAATTACTTGTTACTCTTTGTAAGCATATTCATACAAGTAGTTTAGCATTTTAATAATTATAGAAATTATTTAATACAGACAAAAATTCTGACGCTTTGTGAGACTAGAATGTTATGGCTGTTGATAACGTATGACATCATAGAACTTGCCTTCGGGCTGCTGTATATAGTTTCCAATATATTGCTGCGGAATTTCTGGTGAATTAGACACTTAAATATTTTCGGCGAATATAAAACAAACTTTCAGCGCTTTTTTATACCAGTAAGAAGCTTCTACCGGATTTTCCAGCACTTTAATATGCCATGATCTGTAATTCTTTTTTCATTGTATTCAGTAACGCTTGCAATTTCATTAAGGAAAGACACACACAAGCGCAAAGTTTACAAATTATTTAATTTTATTATCAAAATAATCGTTATTCATTGCCCAACTGAAACATTTCGTGCACTTTTAACAATTTATGGTCGTAATAATCGTCCACCTGTGCTCGGTATTCTTCGATTTGTTAAAAACTTCGATTTCGAAATTCGAATTTTCTTTACATAATATTCAAGTGCCAACAAGATAAAGAATCGCTTGAAGTACCGAAAATATTGCTGCCGTTCAGACAAGTGTTACTGAAAAATGCGATTTGTCGATTCCAAGATTTTCCCAAGAATTGCGAATGCCTCAGACCACAACCTGGTGTATTTTGAGAAAAGATTTGGACTTGCATTCGTATAAAGTTGTCCCCACTCCAGAACTGAAGCCAGTGGTTTTGATTTTGCTATGGACCAGCTTGAAAACGATAAAGATTTCTTTAAGAAAATCATCTCCTCCGATGAGTCACACTTTCATCTGAGTGCAGTCATAAATAAACAAAACTATCGATTCTGGTGCGAAAAAAATCCACAAATTACTCATGAACAACCATTACATTCATACATTAATCCAGTGGAATCATCGTTCTGCACTTATTTCAAAGTGAAGCTGGTGACATCGTTACTGTCAAAGGAGAGCGATTTAAATCGATATAACCAACTTTTTGTGGCCGAAATTGGAAAAAGTTGTTCCTGACAACGTCTTGTTCCATCAGGACAGGGTGCCGCACAGCAAGTGCTACAACTGAATTATTACGAGAAAAGTGTGGAGTTTCGATTATTTCGAGAAATTTTGACAATAAATGGCTTCCAGAAGTTGCGATTTAACACCATTAGACGACTTTTTGAGGGATTATTTGAAGTCATTGCCGGTAAGCATTGAACCAGACTCTCTTCGAGCCTTAAAAGTCAATATTGATAATGCTACTCATGGCATACGACTTCATTTAAAGGAAAAACTAAAATTGGGTTCATCAAATTGGTTCCTATGAAATTCGTGGAGGCCATTTGAAGGATGTTACTTTCAGATTTTAACAATATCGATTTTAGTTCAAACTAAATAAAAAATATTGAAATTTCCCTAACAATTAGCGTATTTTCTTAAAGAAATGATATCACTCATATTGGAAAACCCTTAACAAAGGCCTCATCTCAGTTTCGATTTCGATTTAATTTTCCACCCGATTTGATTAAATTAACATAAATGGTCCGACAAAAATGAAAATGTTAAAAACACTTGATCGTGTACATGTACTTTATTGTTTTTGTCGAATATTATTACCTGATCAAATTTGAACCGGACTAACAAAGAGTAGGATTACATTTTCACGTATTTTTATACAAATCCTTAACATTGCCTTCAAATGAATCAATAGAAACAAAATATAAGTCAATTATTTCTATACACTTGTTATAGGTATTGACTGAGAAGGAGTAAGTGCCTTCAGTGTATTTAGTCTATTTTCGTTTTCGACAACTTTTTCGTGTGCCATTCGCTAAATTTTTGAACAATTTTAAGCTCGACTCTTAAACTCACGTGCCTTTCTATCTCTTTGTGACCGAGACCAAACTTCGTTTTTTTTTTTTCAAAAGATTCAGGTCTTTGGGTATATTGATGATATATGTATATTGGTGCCATAATAAGAGACCCGCCATAGCTTGCTAACTCTATTAATACAAGCTTTTACTCTTCATTCTGAGCACCGTATATTTTCTTGGAGCCGCCACTCTTCGGTGCACAGTCAAGATATTCCCAAAGCTCAGTTTCAGTTAGCATTCAGACCGGAAACTGGCAATTGTCCTTGAGCTATGTATATAAGAACTTCAATTATATCATACTTTATATGACTATTTTATTAATATTATTGAAAAAAATTGTGGTCATACTTTATATCAAAAGCCATCACATTTTAGACCAGTTCTACAGTAGCTAAGTTCATCTTCATAGAATTTTAGTAGATTTTCTGTTATTCCTATTTATGTAATTTATTTAATTGCTTTTTGTTTTGTTGTTGTACATTAGTAACGCATTTCTACATTTTGTTCTTTTTTTTTCTGTTTTAACGCTTTTGTGGCTAAATCTCTGCTCCAACACGCTACGCTCTTGCGCTCTGCTAATTTGTGGCTAAAACGACTAAAAACTCACTAAAAACTGTCGCTTGCATTGCAAACCTCGCCAACGTAAATACCACACTTTCAACTCACCCACGCACACACACCCGCATATGCGTGCATTGCACGTGATTGATCAATACAAATGCGCCTGCGCATAGTGAGCACCGGCACCACACACAACTCGTACAACCCGAGCGCACCGGTGCCCGATCTTGGTGATGGCAATAGTTTCAGCGGCGGCAATGCCGGCGGTGGTTTCGGTGGCGGCGGTTCCGGTGGACACAGCCTCTATCCCACTTTGCCCAACAGCCCGCCAGCAGGCGCATCAAATCCATACGGCGGCTACCAGCCACAGCCGGGCGGATATCAGCCACCAGCAGGCGGTTACCAGCCAGGAGGCTATCAGCCGGGTAGTTATCAGCCCGGTGGCTATCAACCTGGCGGCTATCAACCTGGCGGCTACCAACCCGGTGCCTACAATCCGAATGCTGGAGGCAGTGGCGGCTACGTGCCAAATGCGCCGGGCTATGGTGGCGGAAGCGGCGGCAATGTGCCGCAGAAACCGAAAGACAAGGAAGGCGGCGGTTTCCTCTCCAGCTTTTTCTCTAACCCGGCGGTAAGTCAGGCTGTATCTGGTATTATTGCAGGCCAAATTGCGAAAAGCTTGCAAGGAGGCGGCGGCGGCGGCGGCGGTGGCGGTACTAATGGTGGTGCCAACGGTGGCTACCAACCAAGTGGTGGCTATCAACCTAGCGGCGGTTATGGCGGTGGTGGCAGCAGTTCGGGCAGCGGTTCATCTGGCAGCAATATTCTTGGCGGTCTACTGGGTGTGTTGGGTGGTGGAGGCAGTACCAGCGCTGGAAGTAGCGGCAGCGCCAGTAACTTCTTGGGCAGTCTGCTGAGTGGTGGTGGCGGCAGCAGCAGTGGTGGTAGCAGTGGCGGTAGCAGTGCCAGCAATTTCTTGGGCAGCTTGCTCAGTGGTGGCGGTGGCGGCAGTAGCGCTAACCGTGCCGGCGGCAGTAATCCGATTAGCGAAATCTTGGGCTCGCGCAACTTTGACGGCCTCTTCAGTGAGAATCCATCCTCCAGCTCTTCTGGGTCCTCCGGGTCATCCGGGTACTCCTCAAGCTCTCAAGGCCCCAAAAGTTACCCCACTCAACCGCCAATGAACTACTACGGTTAATATGAAAAAAAGGAGACAAAGCCCCTTTTCATTTATACTCGTTTTTTCTTAAAATCAAATGATATTTTTATTTTACTAACAGGGCAGCTAAGATCAATTTCAATTTACACCAATTAATATATACATACTCTAACTAAACGTAGGCAAAAGATAATAATTTTACTAGAGAAAAGCATAAAACTAACGATAATCAAAGAGCAAGACATTTGCAGCCATTCACAATTGAGAAAACTGTGGCTTGAGAGACGGCTGCGGCGAAGAGTCGTGTATATATACTCGCCTAGTTAATAAAGCATTTTTTTGCTTGCGTAGAAGCAACTAATAAATAAAGACGAAAGGAAAATGTACTCATAGTTCTTAGGGAGAAAACGATTTTTTAACTGTAAAGCTGTATTATTTGAGAACCGCTGCAATTACTCGCAGAACGGCTTGGCAAAGATTGCAAACAATAATTTTACCAATCAATTAGTATATAAATTGTACATATAGAAGAAGCATATATACAAACAAAAACAAATACAAAATGTCTTTATAGAAACGTTAACTTCAAAGCAATAAATTTTAATTTTCATAACTTCGAGCATAATTGGCTTGAAAACCGAAAGAATTCTGAAATGTAAATAAAAAGCTGAAATCAAATAAATAAACGAAATTATATAAAACATATGTATTTAAAGAAAAGTTGTTGTGTTTTATATTAAGAAGGAAGGGACAGAAAATGGTGAGTAGCAATTGCTTTTGCAATATAATTTTAACCATAAATGGCAAAAAAAGTTTTATAATTGAAATAAATATTTAAATGCCAGTTCTTGAAAAGTTCCCAGAAGAACCGATGTTCTCTAGCTAAATTTTCTTCAGCGATGGGACCCATTTCTCGTTCAATGGGTATGTAAACAAGCTAAGTTGCCGCATTTGGCACGAGTCGCAACTAGAAGAGATTCAAGAGCTACCATTTCATCTAGCAAAAATTAACGGTTTAATGTGATTTGTGTATCCAAATTTCATCAAAATATAAATTAAACAATCCCCATCAAATTATCTATGTTTGTGGCTTTTTCTTTAGAAAAGTAGGGAACCTCGTTATTATGCATGGAAATAAGTAAACCCGATTCGAAAGTAGATATGATTGTATATTAAATACGAACTAACTGGAATCTGAAATTTTCGCATCCTACATGTAGCTTGGAAAGTATGTACAGCAAAAATGTCGAAAAATTCTGTGAACTTTCAATATTCCAGTGATATAAGAAAATAATTAAATTAAATTGAAAGCCGCCACGAAGCGCCATCAAACTCGTTGTCCAGCTGATAAACTATTTTTAACAACGATTCGTAAGCTCTTAAGCGGAAAATAAGAGGTTTTAAAACGAAATTTATTTTGCAAAGAATATTCGATTCTTAAAAAGTAGAAGAAATTCCAATTACTCTCTTTAGAAAAGCTTTAAAATACTACAGACAGCTAAAACTCCAGTACGTGCCATTAAAACAAGCGCCAATACTTGGACAGAGAAAATTCAAAAAGCGCGGAAGTACTTTCGGATTATTCTTCTTTTTATTAGTATAGACACCGCTCATTATTAAGCCAACATATTCTTCCCATATGAAACACTTGTAAATTATCCTACTGTTTCCTGTCAAGAAAGCGAAGTAGCCATGAGCCGAATGAAGAAATCAAAAAAAAAAATGAAAAATTACTGTCGAGGTTTTCTAAGAACTTCGTTCAATAAGTATAGTAAAAATAAACAATATTGTTAAAGCGTTTTTTCATCTTAAGCACGAATAAAATTTTTGGAAAATTGCTGAAGTTACCTCGATTCAAAAATCGGAGAAACCAGAATATGAAGTAATCTCGTTTCTGCCGACAATATCGCAACTTCTTGAGAAAATTGTCATGAAATGTCTCAATAAACTCATAGAACGGAAGCCATAATTCATTTCGGATTTCTACCCAACTATTATACGATTGATCAAATCCACAGAAGTCATTGGCGGAGACACCGCCAGTCATTCGCCCCCCCTGGTCTTTCCAACGAAGTGGAGGTTTACTCTTCCTCTGCTTCCCCCGTCGAGTACTGCGTCAACTACTCTTAGAAATGGAGTACTTTCATCCATTCGGAGAACATAATATAGCCAACTTAGTCGCTGTCTCATAACTCGCTGAACTATGTCAATGGCGACGTATAACTCGTACAGCTCATTTGTCCATCGAATGCGGTATTCACCGTTACCAATGCGCAAAGGACCATAAATCATCCACAGAACATTTTTCTCGGTATCTCGTAACGTCGACTCATAAGATGTTGTTATCGCGCATTCTTCTGCACCATATAGCAGGACGAGGAGCAGGACCCTCTTCTTTATATTCTATGTACGCACGCTCTGCCAATTTACTGCAATCATACAACAGCCATATTTGCACATGATACCGCGTTAACGAACACGAATCAACTAGCAATTTCCAAACGTCAATAGACTGAAGTCCTGCAATGAGCAAAGAAATAGTAAAACAAACTCAATGAAGTCTGTTTTCCCATACAACAAGATACAGCACTATCCAATTTTCATCAACGGTGCGCCGCTTAATGCTTATAAAAAGCGAACAGAAAGAGTTAGACATGCCACGCATTATTCATTGGTAACGAATAAGTGTTATCCATTGAAAACAAGTTACTCAACTATCTCAACTATAAACAAATACTCAGACCGATTTGTAGATAGGCGATATGACTAATTGTCAAAGCGCCTTAATATTGTAGATGTGCTGAGCTAACCTAGTAATATTAAAAATTGCAGCAGCACATAAAGCAGGCTGCTGTTATACAACATTGACGACGACAACAAGGGTCCGTTCTGGACCTAATGTTATGTAATATATTATCTACCGAAATAAGTTAAAATAATCAGATATGCCGACGACGTTTCTGTGGCAATATACATATGCACATATGGCGGAGTGACGTGTTCTTTTGAGAAAAAGAATGGAAATGATATGCACATTTTCTTTTATTGCCAGAAGTTTAGTGAAAAAAGAACTATAATAGAACAGCAGATATCTGAGCACGTATCCCGGTTAACATAGTACCGCATATGCTGTGATGTAAGCACGTCTGGCGCATTATAAAAGACCTGACCACGAAAATTATAATAGAACTGAGAATAGCTGTACCGCTGCGAATGAGCGAAGCAAGGCCAACAAACAGAAAATGAGTAAAATGAAATGCAAGAGCCAATAGGCTTAGCTTGCCTTGCGAGGAAATACTTAACGGTAGTGCTGCAAGGTAGATACGAAGCTTACGGAGTTAAGGGTTTAGGAGGTTGGCGTACCGTTGCGTAAGTTCAACATATTGAGAAATAGGGATCGCGCGTTGTTCTGAAGGAGGTGCACTGATCGTACGGTATGAATCGTGCATGCAAGAAGCATCTTCTAGAAGTATCTGCCTTCGGTAGAAAAGCAAATACTATTAAGCTCTCCTGAAATGATATAAAAAAAAAGAAAAAATTATGTAACTAAAATGCAAAGATTAGAAAACCATAATATCGGACCGACTTTTCATTGACCGACTTTAAATGTTGATGGATCTCCTGGAATTTTTATAGTAATAAAGCAGACAACATACAAAATTGTGAAAAATTAATTTCCAGATTTAATGAGATATTTGTTGAAATAAATGTAAGCATATTTGTATTAAATTTAATTGCAAAAGCAATAATGCATTTTAAGGCCTTGCAAATATCTCAAAAACATACATGAAATGATGAATGCATTGTGGTATAATTGAACTAAAATTATACAAATGGCAAAAACGCTTGCATGTGCGAGTATGTGAAAACATTTAAGAGCGTGAAATAAATGTTAAACTCAAAATATCTCAACCACAGCGGACACTATTGCCAACAATTTCTAAAATAAACTTACAGCAGCAAACAAGAAGCACAACAATTTATGCCGTCACTCCGAGCAGAGCATAATTATTGGAAATTATGATAGAAATTATGGCGATGTGTGGCACAATAAATTGATAACTGCTACCGAAATGAGCTTTACAGAGAACTCTGAAATACATATATTACAGTGACCACAATTGTGTTTGCACTTTGGTCATGCAAATATTGAGGCAAAAGCGTATTCAAATGCAACGCAGTGTGCAAATATTGTAATATTTTTGTATGTGTGTGTGTGTATGTGCTTGTGTCATATATTATTTTGTGCGCATGCAAATAATTGATTCATTCAACAAACAAAGCCCGCAAATGAAGCCATTGCAGGCTTATCAGTGCTGCCGGCAAATTGCAGCGGAGCAGGCAGACGGCGGGGGAGGCGGCAGTCGCCAATTTATGGCAATGCAGTTCGATTAAAATTATACGTCAGCAAAAGAATAAAAAGCTTAGCGGAAAGCAAATACATTTCGGAGATAAGTAACCGGCATATAAACCGGTGTGTGTGTGTGGGTGTGTGAGCAGGCGACAGCACGTGATTGTTGCAATTAAATGTTGCAATTTTTGTTTAACTAATTTTGTTTGCAAGCGGGTCAGATAACCGCACTGCGAGCCAAATGACTGCCAGCCAATTAATTGCTCTGCTCCATGCGGGTTGCGTATACGCCATGGCGGTCTGTGTGTTAATGTATGTGCACAAATGATGATTACTTTGCATGCCGCAGAGTGGGTGACTGCCGTCGCGGCATGACTTTCACAAATCGAAATTAAAAAGGCAGAGCTTGAAAAATCCGCACAACTCAACAAACGACAAAGTCAACGAGGAGTTCTTCCAGAGTTGCTCCAGCAACAACAGCAACAGCCACAGCTGCAAAAGTGAAAGTGAAATTACAGCAAACAGCGGGTTAGTAGGTCGCAGGTTAAGAACTCGCAGTGGAGGCGTAACAATTGCCGGCTAACTAATAACCACAGCACAGCAAGGCACGACAGCAAAAGGCAGCGCGGGAGCCGAGCGCACCAAAAGAATTGCGAAAGTGGGAAAAAACGAAGTTGCAACATATATGTACACACGCACACAGTAGCTGCCGAGTTGCACGACTTTGTTGCGAAAATGGAGCAAATGCGATTCCCCAAAGCGCAGCCGGAGTAACGGGAGCGACTGAGCCGCAGCACCGCAGCACCGCAGCACCGCAGAGACCGCAGCTGCAAGTGAATGCAGCGGGAAAATTGCGATTTGATGAAACCGAAGGAAAAAACGCTGAAATATGGGGCATAAGTACACAAAACTGTGACAAAGAAGAAGGGGAGCAAAGCGCCGAAGAAAAGTAGCGAAATGACTCCAAGTCGTAAATCACTTAGCTTCATTTAAATTGTTAGCGTAGGAAATCGCGCTGAGACAAAAAGCGCGCCAACAACACGCGTAGCCATGTGGCATGTGTGTGGCGGCAATGCGCAACTGCAACAACAACAGCGAACAGCGCGGCGCTGGTGTGGCACGTGCAGCGGCATGGAAATCCGCAGTGGCTTCCTGCGCGCCTTCCAGTGCGACGGAGGAATGTGGAATTGCCCAATGGCGGAACGAAGGAATGGAGGAATGTGCAATATTCATATCGTTATGCCTGCACCACGTCATGCCGCTTTATGTGTGTGTGTGTGTTTGTGAGCGTGCGTGCTTGCTGCATGCCCCAGTGAACTAATTACGCGCCGAAAGCACAATGCCGGCAAAAG